GCAAAAAATCCCCCCCCCCCCCAAAAAAAAAAAAAAAGGAAAAAAAAAGAAGGTAGGAAGGTGAAAACATAGAGGAGTTTATCACTGATCTAAATTTGGAGTCAGTTTTATAACTTTGTGGCTGATGCCTGGATAAAAAAACAGATTTTTTATTCAGGATCTGGGAGAGTTAACTCAGAAAATGAGACTGCTAAATCCCAGATTTAACCTTGACAAGGCAACTGGAATTGTCCAAGCAAAGACCCTCATCCAGTTCAGACTGAAGTAGAGGGAGAAAAAACAGTACTGTGATGTGTATATGGTGGGGACATGGTGGAATATCCAAGACATGATAACTGTGAGACCTGCTGCAGAAAGGCAGCTGAATGTCAGTGCTGGAGTCCCTTAAACCTCTGCAGTCTGTGTGATTGACTAAAACTGCACATTCTGTGACAAATACACAGGCCAAGACAATGTCAATAATTTGGGAGAAGATGGAGGATGCTGTGGAGCACATCATGCAGGCCAGAAGATGTCAACACTAGCTTGGAGAAAAAGACCAACACTACCAGTAACACAAACTCAGCAGAACAAATATGCTTCATTGCAGAGGTGATGCTGATTAGGATATTGGACCAAAAGCAAAAGCAATGTTAAATAATGTGAGATTAGTGCACAAGCAGCAATGGGGCTAAGAAAGCAGTTGTGTCAGTGGTTCAGCTGGAATTTCACTGAGCAAATGTATTTACTGCTCATTGATAAAAAATGCAAAATTTAAAAATTAAAAAAAAAAAAAACCCACAACAAAAAATGACCAGAATGGAATCCGTTATTTTGGAAACTTTCATAACCAGCTTGCCTGGTGAAGAAGACCAGATAAACAGTCTTCTCTGCAGGCTGTGGTACACCCCCAGCTTCCCACCCCCTCTCATCAAACAATCCCTCTTCACTCATTCACTGCCTCCCAGTGGGACTGAACAAAACATTTAAAAGTTAAATCTAAATGTTGTCAGCATCAGGCTTTCTCTTACCAAACACAAGCTGGACAATTGAGCTTCATATATGCTGAAAACCTTGACACTCCTTGGTGTAACAGATCGTGATAGTTTCCTTGATGTTGTGAAAAAGGGCATTAAACAATACAAGGGCAAGTATATTTACTATGGGTGTTCAAATGACTTACTGATTTTAAAATACATCATTCAGCAATGCCTTCCAGACATCCCAGTACTTCACAGCTCAAAACAGAGATAATATAAGAACTGGTCACATGATAAATCCCCACCTTTATCTGAAGCTATGTAAAGGATGTTCCATGCTTGAGTTCTAGCTTGCCAATTTATATCAAGTGGTGGTGATCTGTATTATAAATGTGCACATGCAAGTGAGAAAGAATGTCTTCAGAGACATCAAAATCCTGATGGATTGGTCTTTTGTTTTGAAAGCAGTGATCAAAAGGTCAGAATGTCATATTTTAAATCCTAACCATCTCTTCTGCTATCCAATTTGAAAAATACTACCAATAAACTGTAGGTACCGCAAGTTAATTGAGTAATTAATTCAACAAAAAAGAGGAAAGTGTTGGGCTGACATATTTTGAGAAATCATCATCCTTCAAGACAAATCATCAGATTCTTAGCAGGTATTTACCTGAACTCCAGTTACCAGCTTTAAGTGTTCAGCAGTAGAAATCTGCTGGACTTTTGCATTTCCAGCTCTGTATTGAAATGTGGCTTTGTACCGAATATAAAGTAGAGAGGAGAATGGTTGAACCATGGTCTTCCAACTCTCAGGAGAATGTCTGGACCACTTATAAGATACCAAGTCCTTCCTAGTCTCTCCTTTAGTAGTGCTTTGCATCTATTAGCAAAAGTTCCCTGAGCCAATGTAAGAAAAATCACTTTCTTGCCTAACAGACCAACAACTAAGATGGAAAGTGGGGTATCTGGCATCTGGTATTTGCTCCAGCATAAACGACTACTATACAAAAAGAAACAGTCTTGACATGAGTGACTGGGAATATCGATCATCATGCCATATCCCAATCCAGAGAGCACCTACCTATAATCTTCAAGATAAGGATTTGAATTATTTCAGGGGGAGAGGGAAATAGAATGCAACCTGCTTCTGCCATAGGTGTCAGAGGTGTCTCAGCTCCTAAATTTTGGGGTGAAAGGCTTTCCAGAAAAGTTATCAGGCAAATTTCATCCAAGCAGCTTTCAGGTGATAAAAACTTACTATTCAGTTCATGTGGTTAAAGCATTGACAGAAGTCTGCCCAGTTCTCAAATGCATGTATTCTACTTTCAACAATGTACTACTACTTTAACAGCACTGGAAGCTCGCTGACTCCCAGATATGGCTGTCTCTGGCTTTGATTCAGAGCATTGCTGGTGTGGGACTGACTATACATTTCATTCATTGCTTTTATTCCTCCAGTGTAAAGTTTTGCTATTTATTCTGAGCAGCAGATCACAAGACTTGGAAGCACGTGTTTGTTATGAAATTAGGAGAAATGGCTGAATTCTAAAACTCACGCATTACAAAACAAAAGGAAAAACGAAGTGCTTCAGAAAATGCCTTCAAAACAGCTATAGCATCAGTCAACTGACACTGTGCTGATTAATGTGTAACATAATGAACAATGGTATCTTCAGACCAGAGAAATGAAAATTAAAGGAATAATCCAATGACTGGTTCTGTAAAGATGTTAAATATTAATGGTAATGGGGTGTACCAGATCTTTATAGCAAAAGAGTAAAAACCTTCTGGGATAGTCCTATTTTGTTCCAGGCTCTCCTGGGGCAATTCCTGCAGGATTTAGTCACCGAGGCAGAGGAAGTAGCCCCTGATAAACAGCCAGAAGCTCAGTGGCTGGCTACAGTCTCAGGACCCAGGCAGGGATCTCTGGGAAAGGCTGAGCTCCCCTCTTTTCATTAACAAGGCATGAGGATGGTTTGGAGACATGTTCAACTACCTCTGTTGAGATCACTGGGAAGAAACCCCTGTGAGTAGCTGTATTTAAATTATTGAGTTTCCTGTAGGAAACAATTGTTACAGAGCAGCACAAAGCTATGCGGAAAAAGGCTAAGGTAAGTGCATCTCCTGAAAATGGGAGAAAGCAAAGGTGCAAATTAAATGGAAATACATCTAAGGCAGGGACCAAGGAGCAGGTGGGGGCTTAGTTTTGAGAATACATTATTAGACAAAACCCAATTTTTTTCAAAAAGTGTGTGAGTGGGAGCCTACCTGCTCATTATCTCTTCACATAACCAGAGAGCAACTAGAACTTTTGTTACAGGCTTTAAAACTACCAAATGCTATTAGGTGTGACCCAAGAAGACAGTCAGCAAAAGCATATTAAATTACAATTATGAATTGCCTGAGCTGACATTTCAGAAATGGGTACCTGATTTTGGACTCCTACATCTACACTGAAGTGGATTAAGGATGCAACCTGATTGTCCAAAGTGAGCACTCCCATGTCCAAACATGGATCTTGGAAACTTATTTTGGTATATATTTTAGAAGAAAATCTGAGTGGATATGATTTGGATATACAATATAGAAGCTAACAAAATAAATCTCTGAATCTTCAGGGAGAAGTGCTAGAGGAGGAGCAGAGATCTATATGCAATCTCTCTCATTCTGTTTCTTTAACAGGAAAACATACATTTATCATGAAACATACAGAAACAGGAGTTAAAATGACTGACCTCCCTGGGAGCTTTGGTTTCACCCTTCTAATAAGTCAAGCATCTAAGCAAAGCACGGTACTACTGTACATTTGTAAGCAACAGCAATATTTTTTTTTTCACTTGAGTTCACCATCTTGCTTCTGTACCTTGTTTTCCTAATCACTATTTATGAAAGAGTAAAAAAAAAAAAAACCAAAAAAAAACCCCCAAACCATGATCCAAAGTACTACATTCTCTTAAGTATAGTCATAAAAAATGGGTGCTGTTAGCAGCCATTAGAGAGTACTGTGACTTTCAGACAGGAAAATCCGTATCTGATGGATTTCATCTACCCGACTGAGTAATGCTAAGTGTTCACTGCCCATGAACATGTGATTTTAATCTCACTGAAATATATGAGGCATGCACCAAGGAGAACATACTGTAGTTTCAACATATATTGCTGAGGACAGAATCGCAAATCACATTGACCTCTGAGGAAGGACCATCTGCAGTCAGTACAACAGTAGGGATGGCCTTCCAGCCACCGTAAAAGGTCTTATTTTCCTGAGCATTGCACTGTATTATACGTGTATCTGAAACCTAAAATAGTTGATTTTCTTGTTGTAGTTAAAAATAAATGTCTACACAACTAATTAAACATGAAATTTGGATTAAATGTTTATTTAGGCCTCCACTTAAGAGCTCAATTTATTGTTATAGCTTCCAAATACATTTCTGTGGAGATCTTTACAAACTTTCTTTTAGGTTTTATTACAATTTTCCTAAGTGCTGTTATAAGTGCATGCGTACACATATATCTGTATAATGTGCATAGTTAATTATCTAATTAACGTTTAAAGTTCTGAGTCATCAATTTAACTTTTTCAGAGGACTGAAAGAACAGCGACCCGTATTGATTTTCCAACCAATCAAAAAAAGACGAATCACTCTTCAGGCAAATCAGGAGTCTTGACTTAAGCTTACCTGGACTTGGATCTTTGCCAACATTCTAAAATCGCCTTTCAAAAAATGTCCCAAAAATCTATAGAAACATCTCTGAGCTTTAGATGCAGTGTCTGCCAGGAAACTGTAATGTTACTTAATTACAAACTTAACCCTGAACGTTTTGGTGGGGAAAAAAACTGGGAAGTTTAGCTCTTTGGAAGTAGTATTCAAATTCAAAGCTCGTGGGTGGAGTTGGGGTGTGTGAAGGTGCATAAATAGGCAGTAGGAAAGGCAGCGTTCACACTGCAACTGGGAACACCTTCGCACCCTGGCAGGCATCTGGGAGAGTAAACAAGGTAAGGCAGGGCACACCTGCTGCTTTAGAAAGTACCTGGGGGAGCCGCGAGCCCGGGTTACCTGGGGCTGGGGCAGCCGATCAATGGAAAGAAAAGACTGCAGCAACGTAGGCACAGTTCAGCACAGTTTGCTGCAAAGAAAAAAACGCGTAGAGAAATGTTGGCTTTGCACGTTAAAAGAGCCAGGAGAGGAGGGGGTTTTTTTTAGGGAGTGGAAAACTTAGCAAAAGTGCACATAGCCTTCCAGAGGTGAAGTTTTGAAAGAGGAGGTTTAATATTCCTCTGCCTTTGCTTTCAGCATTCTACATCAGCAACAGCATAAAATTTGCCTGGTCTTTAATTTCCTGATTGTCCCATACCTTTGTTTTCTTTTTTTTTTTTTTAAAAGAAGCATTTCTTGTACTATACAGCTCTAGCCAAAACAACTCTTGAGGCACCCCAGAAAATCCATTGGGTTTAACTTAACTTTATGCAATTTTCTTCCTTGCCAAGGAGACTTTTCTTAGGGCAGAAAGGCAGTCTGTAAAAGTCATATTTCATGCCCTTGAAACAGTGACTTTTTGGATGCTTCAGGTCTATTGGACATCTCAGTAGCAAAGAGCACTGTACCACTGATGCAAGTTCAGCTAATGTCTCCTCCTGCAGTTCTGACCCAGAAAAATGCTTCTGTTTCTGTGGAGTTTCACTTTCATTGTCTGAATTTTAAAAACTGTCAGCCTGTTGTAATTTTTGCATGACTCTCTTGAATTTACTGTATTGCTTTTGGAATATCTTAGACTTTCTTACTGTACCCATTGCATCGGTGTTCTAGTTTCTAGGAGGAAATTTAATGAGAAAACATAGGGTCACGTTGCTAAAGTGACCCCCTTCAAAGAAGCATCCCAGCTGAAACGCTGAGGAGCTTCCCATCAGACATGTCTCATCTCCATGTCCCAGAGTCAAGCTCAGGAAAAGCTCTCTGCTTTGAGTTGCTTAAACCAGCAAACTGCCTTTCAGTTCTTGCTGTTCCACACAGCAGCTCCTCCCCACTCTTTTTTATTATAGATTCTACTTGTTTTAAGGGCTAGATGCTACTTTTAAGGGGGAAGACAGGATTGGAAGTTTCAACAGCATTAAGCTGTGCCTATGCCAATGTCTCACTATAAAGCCTAGCTTAACATTTTGACATTTGAGTTGCTCCCACTGCAAAATGGAGAAAGAGCCAAGACAAGTTAATTTTTCAGCACCTGCTGCTGGGTTACTGTAACAGTGGGAGATTGGGGTAGAACTGTGAACTCACTAGGACTTGCCAGTATTTTTGAAATTGCCAAAACTCAGTTGTTTTGCTGAGCAAATTCAATATACGTAAAAAGAAGAGAGAGAAGCTAACACATAAGTGTGCATCTTTAAAGGACCACAGCCTAACGGCATGACCAGAGCAGTAGAAAGCAGCCAGCTCTTTTGCGGCAATTTGCTAAGGAAACCTCACACTTCCTTGACTTTTCCCCCAAGCCCAGGCCCCTGCCTGGAGCAGTTTGTTTCGGCCCTGACTCGCCCTGCTGCATACTTGTGACTTGACCTGCCGTTCTACCCGTCCTTATCAGTTCTGTGCCTCAAAGCAAGAACCAGCTTGGGAGGCACGACAACGTGAAGTTTCTCTCATCTGTTCCAGGAGCAGCCATGGAGAAGAGTTACGTGTCCATGTTCCTGCTGCTCGTCGCTGTCTCCTGTGCTCTGGCAAAGGATGCGGCCAAGGAGACAAAGGAGACTACTGTTAAACCAAAACTGCCTCAGACACTCTCCAGAGGTAAAAGCCCTTCTCGGCATCTGCGGGCAGGCGGTGGGATGCGAACCCCTGGCCGCCGGCCCCGCTTATAACGTGCTGCCTGTGCTTCCCCCGCAGGCTGGGGAGACCAGCTCATCTGGACGCAGACGTACGAGGAAGCCCTCTTCCGCTCCAAGCACAGGTACCGCTTCATGCCCCACTCTGCGCCCCACCCTGCACCCTGCTCTGCCTCCCCTCGCGCCTCCCCGGCCCCTAACGAGGGCTCTTCTTTTCCAGCAACAAACCCCTGATGATTATCCACCACTTGGATGAATGCCCGCACAGCCAAGGTAATCCCTCTGCACTGAAGGGGAAAAAAAAAAAAAAATCTGGTTTTTGGTTTCTGGATAAATGCTGCTTAAAAAAAAAAAAAAAAAGCCAAGGTAATCCCTCTGCACTGAAGGAAAAAAACCAAAAATCTGGTTTTTGGTTTCTGGATAAATGCTGCTTAAAAAAAAAAAAAGCAGCAAGCAAAAAAACCCCCAGCCACCGTTCTGCTTGCTGAGTAAGCCTTAGTGAAATGCTAACTTGCACAAGCACGCAGAGTGTTCTTCAAATCGCTGGCCCACATAGCTATTTTCCAAAGCGCAGAAATAAAATAAAAATGGTAATTCAGCGTTACATGATACAGAATGGATACAGAAATGAGCATGGGTCAGCAGGTTTTGACCTGTGGCAAATATTGTTTTGGTTCACATCGCAATGGGCCAAAGCCAACAGCAAGACCAGGAATAGTGGAAAACAGTAATGTATTGGAAAGGATGTACTCAGCTTTCAGTATCACTGATGACTGAGACTGAATCCAGCCAGGGATTCAATCAAAGTAGGCTGAAACTGAGCTTTTGTGGGATTTCTGGTAACTGGGACTACCCTTCTCCCAGTATTTCTGAATTTACTCAAGGGCCCTTCCTCCTGTAAGCTGATCCACACAGCAAGACCTTTGCATCTATCCATAGCTCCAGTAAATCCAGAAAAGTCCTTTGTACAAGTATTAAAATCCTCTCAAACATCTTGGGCTGAAGTCCCACACCTCCATGAATTTTCTGTGCCTTAAGAACTGGAGCCAGAAACGGCAATAGAAGACTAGGAGGTTTAAAGGGTCAAATGCTCAAATTCAAGCTCGAGCAGACAAATTCAAATTCAAATGCGCTATCTGAAGCAAGGAGGGACTTTTTTTACCGTTATATTTACTCTTTACCACAGAATATGAGTTGATCATCTTCCAGAGGAATGAACTTAAAATCTTCACTTGCTGCAGTTATAAACTGGGAATTCTCAATTTGATTCTACTTTTTTCCCATTTATTTCCACTCTAGCACTCAAGAAGGTCTTTGCTGAAAGTAAAGATATACAGAAGTTGGCTGAAAAGTTCATTCTCCTGAACCTTGTGGTAAGTTTCCCAGTTACACTACATTAAGTGAAAGCAATAAAGTTCTATTTTTAATTATGGCTTCTCTAGCTATAATTAGTCAGTTTAATAGCTAGTGTTGGCTAGGAAAATGGACAGTGCTGAAGCATAACCAATTGAGTAGTAAGTGTCTTTCATCTGTAGCTATCTTAACCTCAAATATGGGTGAATTTAAAGTTTAATAGCAACATTAACTGATGTTATTCATTTGCAGCTTCAGCTGTTAAAAGATTGCATCCTAGACAGTGAATTACTTAAACTGCAAAATGTATTATTTAAGCTCTATTTCATAACACAAAGTACATGAAGAAAAAAAAAGATGCATGTAACATACCCTCTTTGACTGGGAGCCTTATCTGTTTTCTTTAAGTATGAAACCACAGACAAGAATCTTTCACCTGATGGCCAGTATGTCCCCCGGATTTTGTTCATAGGTGAGTACCTCGAGCATCAAAGCTGATCTCAGATCAAAGCTCCTGCTGTGTGCCATGAATCACAAATCCTCAGGCTTAACAACAGGATTTTTTTCCATGTGAAATATAAAATTTCCAGTTGGTTTTGTTGGATACAATTCAAAGCTTCACAGGTCCAGCATTCCTCCCTCACGGATTCCACGAATGATGCAAATCCTTCCATCATGTCATCGAAATGACATGATGCCACAGTCAGTGGAATGGCTAAGCACTGGCTCAGCCTTGCTCATCCTCCTATCTCCGGAAATACTGTAAAAATGGCAGGTTTCTGTTTGTAACACAATCTCAGACATCGCAGGAACAGCAGTGGCCCCAGATGGGTGCTTCAGGGGCCAATTTCCAAAGCACAGTACTTGGTTCTGTGCTCCACTAACCTGCACAAACCCCTCCAAAGCATTAGTGTTTTGCAGACGTATTAGTGGCCATGTATGCATCCAGGTATTGCCTCTCCCAGAAGAGATACGTAACCTCACATACTGCACGTGTATCACTAACACTTTGACAAATCTAGGTCATGACAACCATTTTGAACAGACCAAAGCAACTGCCGTATTATGTCTTCCTTTATTATTTCTTTTTTTAATAACATTTGTAGCCTGAAAGCAGTCTCAGCTTGTAGAGTTAATTTAGGCACCACGCAGTGGCACAGGGTGGAAGGCTGATCAACATTGATCAGAATTAAACCTATCCCCTTCTTAATAAACCTGCAAACACAACACTTAAAATTGCAATGTCAGAGACTGTGTAGAAGAGCGATCTCTTGGTTGTTAGTGGAAACAGATTTGTATTGCAGAAACATTTAGCAAGCAAGCAGAAGTGCAGAAAAGGTTTATTTCCTTCTGCTTGAAGGTTAATCCCGTCCTCCACAACTTCTCTCATCCTTTTTTCCAGATCCTTCCCTGACTGTGAGAGCAGATATTACTGGAAGATACTCAAACCGTCTCTATGCATATGAGCCCTCTGACATTTCATTGTGTAAGTAGCATATCCTGAAATATTCTGAAAGCATTTTTCATGCGACAAGGAGTAACACCAGGCATTACAGACTCCTGCAGTCAGTACTTGCTGAAAGACAGTTAACCGGGATTAAAATGAAACAGGATGCTAGACTTAAACTCAGTGAGGTGAAGAGAATGATGGCAGAGCCCTGGAGCCTTAAACTTCCCTCTGTTTTGAAAGAAAGCATACCTCAGTAGGAACTTGCATAATTCAGCAGTGTTCGGTGTAAGTAATGGTGAGAACTCTTGCACACAAGCCCTGCCGGGCCAGTTCAGGAAACCTTCTGGGAGCAGGGAAGAGTCATATGCTACAGCCCTTCCTCACTGCTGCACAGCTCCCATCTCTGCCCTGCAAATGCCTACGCGTTTGCATTAACAAGATGTATGTTCTCACCAGTCAAAATTAAACAGATGACGTTCACAACATGCTTGGAAGAGCACACTGCATCAGTATCCGTATAGCAACAGGAATGTGAGCAAAAGCTTTAATAGTAATGACATTTTCTCTACACTATTTGTAGTTGCTGGAAGAGGAAGTTGCAACAAAAATAACATGTATGAATATTTCATTTCTAGTGTATTCAAATATGCAGAAAGCGCTGAAACTCCTGAAGACTGAACTGTAAAGGGAAGGAAGCCCTTAAATACTATGAAGTCTGATCTTCCATGTCTTCTCCATTCATTGGAACTGGTAAAGAGACTATGTAGGATGATATTTAGTGATGTATAGTGCTGGTTTATATACATAAGCACTACAGTTTTACATTAGTACTTTTGTACTGGGCAGCATTTTTAAAAGCTGGAGGCTTTTAATTTAAGGCGTACAGAAGAATACTGTATGATCCAACTGTAAAAATGATTTTTTTTAAAAATAAATCCATTTCAAGTGTTTACATACAAAACGTTGCTGTGTTTTGTATTTTTTTCCTTATTATGATCTACCATTATTAGAAAGAGTAAAATCACTGTGTTACTTGAGACCACAGCTTGCAATTTTACTTCTAAGCACTTTGGAAGGAAAAGGGCTATTGTGGGTTAACCCCAGCCAGCAGCTCAGCCCCACACAGCCGCTCGCTCACTTCCCTCCAGAGGGATGGAGGAGAGAATTGGAAGGGTAAAAGTGAGAAAATTCACGGGTTAAGATAGAGACAGTTTAATAAGCAAAGCAGAAGCTGTACCTGCAAGCAAAGCAAAACAAGGAATTCATTTACTACATCCCATCTGCAGGCAGGTATTCAGCCATTCCCAGGAAAGCAGGGCTCTCCATCATGCATAACACTTACTTGGGAAGGCAAACATCGTAACTCTGAACATCCCTCCTTCTTCCCCCAGCTCTTATGGCTGAACACAATAACATATGGTATGGGATATCCCTTTGGTCAGCTGGGGTCAGCTGTCCCAGCTGCGTTCCCTCCCAGCTTTTTGTGCACCCCCAGCCTACTTGCTGGCAGGGCAGTGTGAGGAGCAGAAAAGGCCCTGATGCTGTGTAAGCATCTGCAATAACTAAAACATCCTCATGTTATCAACATTGCTTTGGTCACAAATCCACAGCATAGCACCATACAAGCTACCATGAAGAAAATTAACTCTGCACAGCCAAACCCAGAAGAAAGCAACTTTTTATCTCCAGTTTCAGAGCTAGCTAAGCTCTGTATTGCTCAGCCTGCTTTATTTCCATTTATTTTCTCATTGCACCAACCTATGTTGAGCTCTCATTATCACCCCTTTCTTCACAGTTAGGTAGTAAGTGCAAACCTTTTACAGAAAAGTACTTCAGACTAGAGGATGGGATTGTTTATATGGTTTTGTTTCTTTTTTTAAACTGGCTGCATTCTGAAGTGATCCACCTTATCTACTTGAAGATTTTTTTTTTAAAAGATAAAAACTGTTTCCCTTAAAAGATTCCTGCGTACATCAGAATTCAGTAAAGCCTTGAGATGATGAATAGAAGTGATACTATATTAAGTATATGGTTGGTTTCATGATTGTGTTACAGCTTGCGATTGCTTGTTTACAAGCCCAAAAGGGACAAAAGTCAGAACTAAAAGAAACCCTGCAGCTGAACACCATGGGAGTACACACCACCTCAAGCCTTAGGCCAAAAGGAGACTTTCCAGCCTCAGATAGCTAAGAACGCAGCAGCAACGCCAGTGAGAAACACTCTGCCCAGGACTATACCTGCACTATCTTCTCAGCTTTTTGGCAATGTCAGCCATTCTTACCACTACCATTACTACCACTACCAGCCATGATGATAATCACAATAGAGAAATACACTTGGGAGGGTAGGACAGGCAAGAAAAGCAAGGGTTTCAGCTCAAGGGAATTGCTCAACAAAATTAGAACCAAGGTACCGGCTAACATATCTTTAGCAAGCTATGGGAACCCTACCAACCAGAAAAATCTCAAGTGGTACCTAGAAATGACCCCAGACATGCAGTTGAGTATTCCTTCAGCAGTTCAGTAAGATGTTGCTTTCTATTGCAATATCCTTTAACTGTGATGAGGAAATCCCTTGCTGCAGAAAGGTCTTTCCCTTCCCTCCCAAGCAGAAGACGGGGGGGGGAGGGGGGGGAAACAACCCACGCAGTGGGGGCAGAAATATTCTCTGGAAGCAGCCACCAGCCACAAAAAGCCAAAAAGGAGTTTACGCCACTGAGCAAAGGGACAGCACAGAGGGAGGCTGCAGCAATTGGTTACCAGAATCATCTTTATTTACTCAACCCAAAGTTCACTTGCTAGAGCTGTGTATCCGATATAAAACAAAAGCTGCTGCCCATGCCATCACGTTTTAAACACGTCACGTTTTTTTATAACTCTACTGAAGTAGCATCATTTCCTTAAGCAAATGTACAGATGCTATGGATAATATCCAGCAAATGGATATAAGGCATATTCTACAAGGGTCTACTAGTCTACATGCTATGGCAGCAAAAAAGGTAGATCAGCTGGAAAGCATCAAGAAATTAATTTTTGATTCTGAAATTAAGTTTTTGCACTCATTGCTACTTTTTTATAGTTTGCTTTTCACCTCGGCCAAGTTTTCAAGAATCTGAATACTTAAATGGTCAACTTAATTCTGCTCTTTTCGTTCTCTCCTCTAAATATAGATTATTTAGATCTACAGAGGCATCAAGCTAAGCAGAGTTACCTAAAAAAAAAAAATAAAAAAAAATCTTTCCATTTCTTCAGAAAACCCAGGAAAATAATTTCTGAAGTATATATGTTCAGTAACTTGAAGTGCACAGGATGAATGGGGTTTCCAGAATTCCACTACCATTCAGACAATCTTTAAATAATTAGGCCTAAAAATAGTAATGCAAGCTAGTAAGACTAGCACATTCTTATTCACTTATCAGCTACAGATTTTAAGGAATATTTTTACAGGTATCAATTCAAATTATGCAACACTTTTCTTCCTGTAATAAATAGTTATTTTCATGTGAGAGGAGTCAGATGCTGTGCAGTGGTATAAGCATGTTAGTTAAGATCTGGACTCACTTTCTTACACAGCTGCAGAATTACATTTTATTAAATTATAGCCACTTATTTTTATGTGATAAGAATGTGTAGGTTTCTTGAAAGAAGCCAAGACAGGTTTCTACATTTTCCAGAATAACCAACTTTAAGAAAGCATTTCAATGTAACTAAGGTCAAAAGACATCTAAAGTAGGCATTAAGAATGCTCCAAGTTAATCTGCTTTGTTATTTTGATACTCTGCTGCTGTAAATAGCTTCTAGAAAATCTAGTTACAATTAAGTCCAATTCTCAAGCAGTCAGATAAAAATTAAAATGCCTCTCTAGAAACAAACAAAAACCATCTTTATATGACTAAACCTATTTTCTCAAGAGGAAAGACAAAGCAATGAACAAAGCAAACTTCAAAGAGAAAACCCACCAAGAACAGGTATAAATTTAAAAAAAAAAAAAAAAAGCTCTATTTCAACATATCAAAACATTTCTTATACACTGACACGTGAATCAGACCTCTCCTGAGGGAGGCTGTTCTCTTCTTCCCCACCCCCAAACAAAGTCAGACTCAATGTGTTTCATTGCCCCCCCCCAAGAATGAGGTTCTGAAAGTGAATCCACATCTCTGATGTGAATTTCAGGGTTTGTGGTTTATTTTTAAATCACAATATTAAGAGACAAAGTATTATTAATATGATAGAAAAACTTCAATCAAATCATACCATCCACTGATCTGTCTTTTGACTACTAGAACAAATTCACACTAAGTGTCCCGAGACATGAGAGTTTCTAAAGTAGTAACATTTTCAGTGTTTTCTCAGTGATGCACATTTACGCTCCAATATCACCTACCATATTTATGAAACCAGACCCACCCCAAACTAAGCACTAAAAACAATTCGGAAAAAAGTCAAAATTGAAGCAGCAACATGGTATTATTTTAAGCTTCATATACCCTCTCCATAAGGCTCCTCCTTTAGTTTATTACAGTAATGTACAAAATATAAATATAAAGCCTGTCTAGGCTAGGAAAATTAACTGTTGCGAAAGACAGCCATGAGATGATCACTGTCCGTCCTCTTGACATGTATTGAGAATGGCTGGTTAGCTGCTTAAACAGGAGAGCACTTGGGGGGAAAAAAAAAAAAGCTGCATACATTTACATTATACTTCAGTAATAGTCCAAAGGCTCTTAAGGTCTTTCGGTACATGAGTAGGCTCTTACACTGAATGTACAAGTATGCACTTGAAACAGACACCAATACTTCTCAACATACGAAGCAGTAATTCACAGACCAAACACCAGGAGATGGCGCTGAGAGCAGATGTTGAAGAATCAGCTACACCTGAAGAGAAGCTGTCCTTAGCAGGTTCTTGACATCCCTTGGCATTCAGGTTCAACTGAAAACCTCGAGACAATTCCTTCTTTAGAGCACTGGGCACATGCAAGTTTGAAAGTGTTCTGATGGGCATGTATTTCAACTTCTTTTTGCCGCAGGAGCAAGGAGGCATCTCCCTAGTAACAGGAGACTGTATGAGAACCCACTTCTGTCTGCCCTCACTGTCTTCCTTTCTACCTCGCTCAGCTGCTGTACTCCTTGGCAGATGGCCTTAATGGCCATCTTCCCCTTTTCTTCCTGCAGAGCCATCTTTCAGGCTACAGCAGCTGCCTGCCACACCAGAAGCAGCAACTGAATGAAGAAAAAGTGCATTGCAGGTCTGCAATTCAGTGTGATTATAAACAAATGGAACATTATGCACCTTGGGTGTTTAGATGTCTGATGTTCCAGCTGATGCATCACTTCTATTACAGGCTGGATGAGGGACCATGCTTTCCTTCAGCTCAGACAACACTTACTACATGGATAATGTACCATCCTAACTTTAATTCTTTTTTTTTTTTTTTTTCTAAAACACATCATTCAATCTCTCATGAAATCAAGACTGTTAGCTGGATGACAGAGAATATACACTACTGAGTTATTACAATACTTTTACACCATCTGAAAAAATAGCTGTACAACAACTTTCCAGACATCAAGTTTCTTACATTAAAGATGACAGACCACTATTGATTCCGATGTTGTGCAAATACCAAAACTTCATTCACTTGTCAAAGAAAAAAAAAGTTTCAAGTTAATCAGCTGCAGATTACATTATCCTGGTTTTCTTCATTCATTGTTCTCATACTGAAGATATCCATTAAAAAGCAAAGAATTATTTTTATTCTCAACAAAATTCTAAAGCTACCAGAAAGCCAAAACAAACAGGGAAGGGGAGGGGTGAAGACTACAGTAGTCATTAACATACATTTATGTGCACTACAGAAAATAACATTTTTAGCTTCTATTTTTACCTTAGCAGGGAAGTGGGAGACCGTTATTAACACAAAAAAGTTGACTAGAGTTCATCCTAAAGCCCAATCAAATCTCAAATCATACAGTCCAACCATCCACCATACATTTTTATCATTTTAATGAGAAATCATGTGAATTTTTGTAATCAATGAATACAGCAGAAAATACCTTTGCATTCTTTTGGACACCAGAGAAGCCAGTAGTGCTATAAAACTCACTATACAGAGTTCATCACATCAATTACCAAAGTCTTAACAGAGTCATTTAACCAGCTTAGAGCAGCAGTCTGACTGCCCAGCTACTGAATGCACCAGTCTACTTCAAGATAGATTCTTAGAAGAAAAACAGTGGGAAATTAAATACAAAAACTACAAATTTCTTACGGAAATAGAAGTTTTCTTTTGGGTACATGTTGAACACCTGTTATGGAGAAATACCGAACTATGGAGAATCAGTATTTTGAAGTAGAGGGTGCAGAGAGAAGATTCAGTCCTTTATAAACTCATCAAAGAAATGCACTAGGGTTTGCACGGGGATCCTTTTGGTTCCTGTATCTATATGTCAGCCAGACTCCCAGAATCTGAAAACAAAAACCAAAGATATTATTAAGCAGAGGGTCTCCACCCCATCTTCTATCAGTTTTACAAAATTTGTTTTAAACATAAAATCCTGACAATGAATTTCCACTATACAAGTTTAGGATATTTTACTATTGCTAAAATTGCACAGCCACACACTAGCTTTCTTAATTAGAAAAAAGAATGCACCTTCTCAGAAAGAATTCATACCTAGCAACAGAGAGAACAACAAAACAAAAAAGCTAAGACTGTATCCACAATTATCACAGTGTAAACCCAGCCAGCAACTAAGCACCATGCAGCCGCTTGCTCATTCCCCCTGCCCCGGTGGGATGAGGGAGAGAATCGGGACCAGTGGGATGGGGGAGAGAATTGAAAAAAAAATAAGTACAAGGCATGGGTTGACATAAAGACAGTTTAATAGGACAGAAAAGGATGGGAAAATAATAATAGTCATCATCACCATCATCATCATCAAAATAAGTGATGAACAATGCAATTGCTCACCACCCACTGACCGATACCCAGACAGCTCCCGAGGCTTCTCCCCGGCCAACCCCCCCGCCCCCCCCCAGTTTATATACTGAGCATGATGTCATATGGTATGGAATAGCCCTTTGGTCAGTTTGGATCAACTATTCTGGCTGTGCCCCCTCCCAGTTTCCTGTGCACCTGGCAGAGTATGGGAAGCTGAAAAGTCCTTGACTAGTGTAAGCACTACCTAGCAACAACTAAAACATCAGTGCATTATCAGCATTCTTCTCATACTAAATCCAAAACACAGCACTATGCCTGCTACTAGGAAGAAAATTAACTATCCCAGCTGAAACCAGGACAACAATGCAATGGGAAATATGCTCATAGGCATGCCTACCGTTAAATTATTCTTCCCCTCCCCAAATGATAAATATTCATAAACCTGGTTTTAGTGTAATGATAAACAAATCCTCCAAATTATTTCATTTTACAGTTACCACTTAACTATAAGGCTATTTTTCTAGCACATTTTCAAATCCTGTTGTTCCCTCCAACCACCTTCCTCCCTCCCAGCAGCTTCACATCGTTAGTAGAGAAAATGAGGGCAGATGTCAGAGTGATTGTTTCAGCTGCTGTATCTCTCTCGTTGCTGTAATATCTACAAACCTTCTGAATACTGCACTAAGCAGCAGGAGGAATATCTTCACATGCTCTACTGTGGGGTTATGAAAGACCTGCTCTGAGGATTTTTATTCACCGATCAATAAAGCAAGTATATGTCTCATCTGGATACTAAAGCAAAAAGTCAGAGACCTTTTTAACCTGATGTTTGAAATACAGTTCACTCATCATGAAACTGTATCTTTGTACTACAGGAGGCACAAAAAAAATGCCCAAACCAAAAAACCCCAAAGACTCTGTGTGTGTGCAGGTAGGGGGAAGCGGGAAGAACAGGGGAACAAGGTAAAGCAACGGCATTCTTTTTATTACTTTTGGGAGAATGGTAAACCTGAATAGCTAACTTTCTGCAAAACTTAAACATTACAGCACCACATTTTAATGTGGTATCTAGTTGTGGTTTGTAGAATAAATAACATTAAGTCACAAGAACTCCCAGTATTGAATAAAGACAAGTTCTCCTTTTGGCAGACTTAAGCAAGCTGATAGCCTGGAAAAATTTGACCTAATTAATTATTTGACTCCTGAGATAATACCGAGAGCTCCTGTAATAAAGCCCCTAAAATTAACTGTTTCACAAAACAAAGCCTTAAAAGTGGGGAAAAAGCACTCTAATTTTCTAACCTCCTACTCACTTACCTCTGTGAAACTGAAAAAGAGTCCTATGCCTCCAACAAATCTCAGCACCATTCCAGAATATTCTTCTATTATCGGTGCACATGGTTGACACTGGTGACTTCTAAAACAATCCTGTAGCAGATACGAACAGAGAATTGCACTCCATTTTCTGATGACACTTCATTGATTGAAAGCATCTAGTTAGCTCTATAAAAGACTGCCAACTATGGACAAAACTCTAGCAAAACTCCAACAAAGCAAGTATATAAATGACAATGGAGTACAACCTTCGCAGGGTGCTGTGTGATTATGTTTCCAGTAAGTTAACTAAAGAGCTTAGTATCATTGTAACAACTATCTTACACGTTTCTTAAAAAACTCTGCTTTCTGCAACCACGAAAACAGTTGTACATATTTGAACAAACACAATATAAGTTTTAAGTTTTTTCATGCTTGAAGAACTTACAGAAGAGCAGGTTTCATTCGGATAAAAAACTCTGAATCCACAACAATTCAGATTTCTCTCAATATCTGTTCTCGCGCTGTTAGTGTTATTCCATCCCACCTCAAGAAGTTGACTCTAGAACACATAAGCAAATACATACTAATTGAACTGTTTTGCATTTCATTGGAAACGAATATATTAGGCCAAGCTGATAATTCCCTACCTAAAACCTTCAGATCCTGAAGTCTAACAGGATAATATATTAAAGAATGACTTGAATGTTCAAACAGCCTGTGTAGCTAATGAAATAGCAGCACCTAGCAGCAGCACATTCATGGTTACAATTAATTTTCTTCCCTTCTTTTTCCTGAACTTGATAAGAGCACTAGTAATCGGATACGCAACTCATTAACTGGGACTGCTCAGACTTCAAACAAAAAGTGCGCTTACATGTAGGAAGCTGATTATTTAGTCACTGTACCCTTGCCTGCTTCTTATGCAGTTAAGAATTAGTCTCCATACCCCATGGAAGCTGGTTTTACCTTCACATTTAAGGGTCACCTCTGTTCTTAATGTAGTCATGATCTTTCAGTTACACAAGAACAATTCAGTGGCTTTATCATCTTTACATTACGATTACCGTAGATTACATCAGCTTATCTGGAATTGCTGAACACATGAGATGGTCACAAGTGTAGTAGCATGATATCTTGATTATGCAAAGGAAGCTTAAAATCAAAACATTAAAAAAAAAAAAAAAGACAGCTGAAAGTAATTTTAGAACCCAGATGTATTTATTTCTAGCTACCACAGCCAAGCACTGCCTAAGGTCTAGTCCTTATTTAAAAGGATAATGCTGATTTTCTTAAAATATGCTCTCCCCCTTTTATAGAAGACTATATATATGTGTGTGTGTGTATGTACATATGTATTTATAGTATTATGCTATAGAATAACTGAGAAGTCAGGAAACTTTTCTTACCTGCTGTTCCTTGTTTAGTGCCAAACAGGCACAGGAGACAGAAAACTGGACAATAAAGACTAGCAAAAGAATAATCATGTACTGGAAACAGTAGTTAAGGATACACTCTCAAATTAATTTTGGTTTTATAACACATGTGCCTAATGGTATTCCTTATTTCTCTGGATAACAATAGGTCCTTTAAAACAAAAGAACTATAGAAGTAAATTCTGACTGGATGTGGAAAAGATGACCTAAATAATGTTCCCAAAACTCAATCACCCTATATTCTCTCTTTTTGGCTACTACTATACATAACTGGTATTTCCGGGTTAGGTGTTTCTTGCCTAACAAGACAACATGAGCAGAGAGGTTAATAAAGGGAGTTTTGAGAGAGAGAAACCTACAGCCAATTTCTCCAGCTTTAGGAACTCTTGTTGTCATTTCAAGATACTTCACTTAAATACGGTAAAGAAAATACTCTTGAGGTATTGCATATTCAGAAAATTTTTTTCTTCAATGACATAGTCTTGCGATTAATTACAAAAGGTAACTTTAGCTTAGATTAAAAAAAAGTAACAGTTACTTTTGGAACATAGCCTCACACACTTTTGGACTAATGCATCTGAAAACAGTATAAAACAAAAAGAACAAACTTTGGTGCTAATGATCACATTTTGAAAGTCAAGCACTGGCTTCACAATTTGGCTGCTGTGTTCAGAGGCAGATACTTATCTCACAATTAAACTGTTTGTAAAGTGGAGGTGACTACTTTTTTGCAGACTGCAACAAGATAAATAAGAATTTTATCTGATGAACCTCTTCTCATTCAAACACATCCAATTTGTTATGCAAGGCAGCACTGCAGAGTGCTTACCCAGCATCAGTAAGCATAAAGGGGCAGCAAAGCACACTGAGAAGGCCTCTACTCATTTCTAGTTTGGGTTCGCAATTAAAAACTAGGTATGAAAAGAAAGTGCTTCTTGACAGCCTGTACTACCCCCAATGCATTCCCCTGCCAGCTACAACCAGCTCACTACCTGAACAATCACCTTTCTCTGCCATTAAACAATAATAGTTCACACACTCTAACTGATGTAAGATTGAGCACCCAGTAAGAGGCACGTGTGACACTGTGGCCCACCATAAAAAGCTCTCAAAAAATTAAAATATTTTAATTTTTAAAAAGAGGAGATGCAAATACTTCTGTCTTCAGAGCACAAACAAGGGAGAAAAAAACGAAGCTGGAATAAAGTTAAAGGGGAAGGAAATTTAATTTAGACTGCACTTGACCAAAGTAAGATTGTGAATGTTCTGTTTCTGAAGCACTTTGCCCATCAGTCTCAGCTGACAGAGCAGGTTGTTTACATGGCTTGAACCAAGCTGTGATCCATGTAATGCATTAGAAGGATACAAAGAATAGCAATACTTGATGATGTTTCACCGCACCGATTAATCCAACTAAGGCAATAAGGAAGAGGAAGATTCCTACTGCAATTACCACTCCAACAACTCTGAAACTAGAGATGAGGCCAAAGCCGATTCCCCATGCCGCAATTCCAATCAGCAGCAGGCTTACTAGCTGGAGGGAAGAGAAAACAAAAAGTTAGTCTGCGTATTAAAAGAGGCTCAACCTACACACAGTTACATTCTTTACATTAAAGTTATTGGAAAGGTACAATTTTTTTTTCCAGTGCAAAGAGAAGAAGCGCAACCCTAAACAAACCAATCCTCCATTTCATCGTAGAGATAACTTCAGTTCCAGATGTTTTAAGGCACACATATTCTTCAACACTGTTAATGGGAAGCTGTTGCAACTTCATCTACTTACAAGTGAAGCCATGTTGCATTATCCGTGACTGACTACAGACATTAAACTGAAGTGTGGATTATAACAGAATTGACAAATAAGGTAACATCATTGCCTTTAATTCACAGAACGGAAGAAGAATGAAAATTCCAGATGTTTTCTGAAACAGAGGCAGTGTATTTAAAGAAAACAGGATACACAGCTCCACAGCTCTGACCATGTAAAAAAGCGCACTTTGCCAAAACTTACTGTAATCAGGAATACAGCTGTATTAATTCATTAGAGAAGCTTCTACGTAGTTGATGATATAACACAACAAGGTCACACAAAAATACTTTTTAGATCTGTATCTCAAGGACTTCATGTAATAAAACAATAAAGGTGCCCTGTCGCTGCTACATATTTCTTCAAGAAAATAGCTCTACTATGAAGTCAATCCTATTTCAATACCCGAAACACTCTTATGCTGTTTCCTTCCTTTTAAAGATGGCATTCAGGGAAGGCAGGCAGAATCTGTCCCAGTTAGTTTACTGGGATTTATTGTTTACATGGGCAGGAAGCTCCAGCCTTTCCTGTTTCCATGCCAAAAACACAGAACAAAAATTCCAACATGAAAAGCTGCAGAGAAATCTGTAATGAGGTACAGTAGGAGGGAAGCGGCAGAGAAAGCCAACCCAGATGTCCAATACACAAGATGCCTAACATTTTCTTGTTTGAAAGTTAGACCTACGTCTAACATATCGCCCGTTACGTTCTCTGTTGAATAACACCAATTCAACATGCAAGTTTTAAAGCCTGACCTCACCAAAAAATATGCAGAAGTTGTATCATTATTAAAAAAACAAACAAACAATCCCACAACCCAATACAAAACAGTAAGCGCTTAGTCTGCTCCAACTACTTGGCTTTATTCGACAACAAATACAGAGCAAGCACTTACAACTTCTCACCAGTTTCCATTCAAACAACATATCTCATGATGTTTTAGTGCTTATCCAGAGCAGTGAAAAAAATGAAATGTAAGAGGAAATTTCCAACTTATCCATCATTTCAGTATACTTACCCTAGAGAAGGGCATTTTTGTTGGTTTTAATACCAAAGATGTCTGTGTATTTTTTCAATAAGTACCTTTTAGAAGACTGAGTTATGTAATGCTGCTTTTGAAACATGGAAATCTAAGATAACAAGAAGAAAGCTAGTAAAACAAATAGAGATGCTCATCAAGATCAAAACACAGTGGGTGTTTTTTTCATGTGTTCACACAGGAACACGCCTCAAAAAATGGTTTTACCAAATCCATAGGAGAAATTTAAGAGAGTCTGCAAGAAGAAAAGGAGGATACTTGTCATACATACACCTCTCTCTTACCATGTGAAGAGACAAAAGAATTCTATAAAATTCAAAGGAATTGTTCAATACCAGTAGTTTTAGGATTCATTCACATTTGTCTTTTTTTCTCAAACAAAAAGCCTTAATCACCATGTTTAGTTAAAACCAAAGCACCAGGCCAAGATGTTGTGAATCTAAACTACAGACGGGGGAAGAAAAAAGAAAGCAAAATAAAAAGCCTTGGCTCTGCCACAGACAGATTTTCTGAATGCATGCTGCACAAGGCTATAAACTTCCTGATGTTATGTTAAAAATTAGCCCTGCTAATCAGACAGTTAAGTGCAAGAACTACCTGTTCTGATCTATGCCCATTCACTTTCTTTCATTGTCTCATACCACTGGGAAGACTTATTTTTCCACGTAAGTGTCAGAAGTGAACAACAAAAGAAATCCCATAACCCAATTTCCAATCAGAAAGTGCTGGCTGATGTCCCATGCTCTGCATCAACTTCTAAGCACTAAACTCACACTACACAGCTCTTCAAAGTGTTACCTCATTAAAAAAAAATCTCAAAGGCAATGTCAAATTTCAATTTTTTTCACAAAGAAAAGCAGTAGAAACTTTGCTCCTAATGATTTTCACCAATACTTCTTTCTCCCGCCTGAGCTATGACTGCAAATCTTTATTTTCACCAATCTGCCTCCAGGACACCAAAAATGTGTATTTGTTCAGCTCTTTGCTCATTTCATAAGAGATCTAAAACAATTAGATGAAATTAGTTTTATTCTTAAAGTATCAAAATCAAAAGATAAAACCTATAGAAAGTGTGTGCTTAAAACACCTACTGGATAAACTCAGTGTGTGTGTTGCAGTGTACCGGTTACTTCTTGCTGCTGTTACTCAGCTTCCATTATTCTGCGGATATGTACATGAAATTATTGTTTATGATACTAAAAGTTATTACCACGACCCCTTGGCCGCAAAAGTTTTTGTGGTAGAAAGAGCCACATACTGAATCGAGAATCGCTATGGTTTTCAAGTGGGAAAAAAGCCTCTCTGGCTTTTAAACCCATTGTTGAACCCCAGATGTTCAGGAATCAGGTGACCGGCTTTGAAAAATGAAACAACATAAAATAGTTTAGTTTCTCTTTTGATTGCATTCTAGTTTTAGAGCCATCGGCCTCATTTTCAAGCTGTACCTCCACAATACCTAGGCTGTATTTTGTCTTCTTTCACATGACAAAGTTGTCCATTGTCTAATTCCTTAAAACATCTGGAAATTCAGTATGATCACAGGTCCATGTTATTGGGCTCTGGTTGGCAAGCTATGTGACAATGTTCTATCCAGTCAGGCAGATACATGGTTTGGATCAAAATAACTATCGGCTACTCCAATTTTGGCCACTTAGAATTGTGGAAAACTGACCTCGTGTTTCAAAACGGAAGTGGAGACTGCAGGTTTACAAACCGTTCCAGAAACAGATTTAGTATTAAGTTCCTGCCTCCTCTGCATGCTGACTGGAAGATGAAATGATGGTTATTCCTTCATTTTCAGGTTTGGATTAGACAATCTGGATGTTGAGCAGTAAAACTATATATAGAGGGTTTTTTTTTTTTTACATATATATATATAGTTTTATAGGGCCATAATGTGAAAAGCTAAAGTAAATGTATACTACTACAAACAGGAAAAATAACTTAAGCTGTTTTGGGAAGAAGTTTTACAAGTTTGTAAAACAACGGAAGGCTCATAGCATTAGCCACTGTTTAGCTGCTAGAAATGACTACTCAACGATGCTTATTCCAGTGTTTTGAAACAAAAGGATTTAGATGCAATATTTCTAAAAGTGAAATTTACTACATTTGTAGTAAAATGTACTTGAAACAAAAAAAAGACCCTAACTACTTTTAAATTACTAATATGTACATTCCAAACATACACGCTTCATTTAATTATTAAGAAGCCACATATTTCTGTTAAATAAAGGGAAAACAACTCTCTACTGAGCTTCTGAATGTCACATTTT